TGTATGTCTGTGTATGTCTGTGTATGTCTGTGTATGTCTGTGTATGTCTGTGTATGTCTGTGTATGTCTGTGTATGTCTGTGTATGTCTGTGTATCTAATATACCTCAGACAGTGCCTAATTCCCATAGATCCTGGCGGATCAGCATCCTGGGCAGGGCAACATGGATTGTCACTGCGGGGGAGAATGCATGATTGACAGATCATACAGTAGTTTGCGGAGAGCAAAGAAGAGAAGCAAGGACGGTCGAGCTTGCGTGAACTTCAAGGAAAGAAAATCAATCAATCAGTCGATCAATTCATCGCAAAAGTAGGCAGGAAATTGTTTGTATTGTTAATTCATTCATTTCAATACAGCAGACAAGGCGATTTATTTTTGAGTAAAAGGCATCGCAAGTCGTTCAATTTTTTTTGGTGTCCTACTACGCAATTCCTAGAAATAAAAAAATTGCGCTTCCTCCACCACTCCCATGATTAGAGAAAGAGTTCAGCCCAGATGTTTCGTAAACAGAAGAATTACCCCCCCAAAAAAACACCGACGCCTCCTCCCAGACCGAGAGTACTTGTACTACTTTCCATCTCGCTACTTCCTTTTCAGCGCAGCGGATGTGGAAAGAACATTTCGCCCCAGGCCGTTTTTTTAGCTATTCCAAGCGCGCCTTAAAAAAATTGACACCTGAGCCGCCTGCCATAATGTATATGTCCCTCCAAAGTGGCACCCGAAAGAAAACCTTTCACCCAAATATCGATAATAATTCAAAAAATAGCTGTTGAAGATACATGTCGGGTGTTGTTACAAGCCGTGCATATAGTCGTGAATATTCGTTTCAGATCGTTTTTAGTGCGCCCCGATATGTGTGAATATCGTAATATTAGTAACAACACTAGAGAGACGGTGACGCTCAACTGGCCAAGACTTTCGTCCAGTCCATCTCGCCGTATGCGTGCTCAGTCGGCATCATGGTGTTCTCTTGTGCAAAGCTCGCAAATGTCTCTCCACCAACAGCATCCAGGTTGAGCAGACTGTCAAACTCGATGTCTTCGAGCTCGTTGCCGAGGCCGGTGAAGATGTCCTGGCACATCATCTGCTGCGTGGGATTCAGCATGTTCGGTGTGAATGTGCCAGTGCCGGTGCCGGTGCCAAAATCCTTGTAGTCTTTCATCATCTGCATGCCAGCCGGCTGCAAAGTGTCGTGCTCACTACCGTCGGTGCTGGGGGGCGTGGAAGCGAGGAAGGATTCGAGACGGCGCGCGACTTCTTCGTCGGAGGTGTTGAGATCGGCACCTTGAGAAAGCATATTAGGATTGATGCCCTGTTTGCCGAGCATTTCGTTGTCGGAGTCAGGGGGTGGAGTGAGGTTTGTGCCTGGTGTTGCTTGGGCGTCAGAGAACCGCACAGTTGGTTGGTCGAGACTGCGGCCGGCGTTGACCAAGTCTTCGACGGTAATGAAGCGCTTGAGCGTCGGACGCTGCTGTGCTGGTGTGCCGTTTCGACTGGTTGGCTGCATCGTGGGTAGCTGGATACCAGCTTTGCGAATAGCAGCCTCGAGGAAGGCTACGGAATAATCTGCTGCTGCATACAATTCACGAAGCTTGCCCATCACCTGCATGCATTGAGTAAAGCCGCGTAGGCTGGCACGTCGAGTCTCCTCGTCGGTTGACTTGATATCAAGCAAATGAATGATGATAGCAGGCAAAAGACAAGTGACACCGGTGGTGGGCAGATACTTGATCAGATCTCGCTGGTCGAGTTGCGAAGCAATTGAAGTAAGGGCTGTCGCAGATTGTCGCACTTTGAGCTTCGATATTTCAAGAAGCTCGGGATCACTTTCGCTCGGATTTGCTACAGGCATGGCAGGCAAGACCTGAGGACGATGCAGGGCTGACAACGTCGTGAAGTAGGTCATGTGCAGCAGACTTTTGTGGAGGTCGTTGACATTTTCACCAGTCAATGTTTCAGTGTAGCGTGCCTCAAACGGCAGCTCATCGACCCATCTCTGGAGCTCCTCATCACAGTCTTTTACTTCACACTTTTCTGGGTTTGTCTGCTTAGGTAGCAACATCATGGTGGTGCGGTCATTGGCTAAGCCCTGCTGGTTATTCAGCACGCAGTATTGCTTGGAGAGAACGAGGCTAATCAGCACGCAGAGCTTGGCTTTCTCGATGCACATGACGGCCAGCTCCCGTTGCTTGTCGACATTGCGGGCGAATTGACAGCTAGGCGGTATGCATGAGATAGAGTCAGGGACGGCGCTGATCTCGAAGTCGTCCATGGTAAGCATGGGCACATCGGCGTCCTGATCCTTTATGCGAGTCGGACGACGCATGCCCAAAGCTATTAAGCGGTCGCGCATGTAAGTCGACCACCATATTCGCTTCCACAGTCTGACCCTAGCTAGGTCCATGCTTGACTTTTCAGGATTGCGGTGCAAACCGATCGTGTATGCCACCGAGGTGGCGACACCCATCCAGTGCCATGTGTCCTTCTGATCATCAGGGGTTTCGTAGTAGTAGGTGAGAAGCAGCAGTGCTTGCACGAGCGAGACGCGGTCGGAATCATAATCGAAGTCGTACAGAAGCTGTGGCGGCGTTAGCGGGTAAGACCGAAAGGCAGCGGTTGCATTGCAGAATCACATGCAAGTGGATGCAGGTGTCACGCATGCATATATGTGGGGCTTACCCTTGTTCTCTGGAAAAAGTCCTTGCGAGCCTCTTTGCGCGTCGCATATCCTGCCGCGCGAAGATGAGACATGTCCACAAATGCTGATCCTGCAAACATGACGGCTTGGAATAGTATCAGGCTGACCTGCCCAGCCGTGCCGTCGTCGCGGTCAACCTTGGCGAGAAAGTCGTGCAGCTCCAGGAGCGGCATATACGGATGCACATAGTCGATGTAGGCGGACAGCAGCTCATTTCGCAGCTTCACACTGGGAACAGTAAGGGCACCTTTCTTCTCCAGATATGATATCTCATCTGGTCCAATCTTTGGAGGCAGAGGCTTCATGTACAAGGGGAGCAGGGTGGCAGGCAGCTTGGGAGCCAGCGTCGGCAGATACGACGGACGAACATCTGGGGCAATTGAATAACTGAGGGATGGCACGGTCGCAGAGCCCATGGACATGCGACGATTATAATCCTGGAAACCATGATTTGCACGCTGGGAGTGCGATTGATCTGCAGGTCACAGATGAGCATGTGAAGTGAGCGTCGATATTAAATTAAAATGGACGTCATTGGAGAAGTGAAAGGCGAGAAATGAAAAGAAGAGCGAAATAACATACAAATTGAGTGTGGGACGTGGTCGAGATGCCGCGGTTCGACGCTATGTGGGTAGGGGGAGAGGCCGATGATGGTGTCTCGACGCTGTGCGAGCGCGCGAGGATGATGATGCAGCGGAGCAATTGTCTTTGCCGTCGCCGTCGCCGTCGCCGGTGCCGTTGATGCATCGGGGACGGCAGACTTGCTGAAGGAATCGTCGTGTTCTTTGGTCCATTTCCTGCAACGCGTGACATCTGTTAGTCCGTGTTTCTGTGTTTCTGTGATGTGTGTGCTGTGTGTGCTGTGTGTGCTGTGTGCTCTGTGCTGCTCTACTCTGTTCCTGTTCGGCTTCCTTTCCCCTAATGGCGATGCGCGGTACAGTACTCAGAGTGGGCGCTGCTTGCTGATTGGTCGACAGGCGACGCTTCGAGCGAACTTTCCCCGCCAAAACGCCACTGGTCGCTGGAGAAAAGCAGAAAGCGGCCCCATCCCGCACCAGCTCCACGCTCACAAACTCCCATGCATGCCGTGACCACACTCGAGACTGAGTAATCCTCTTGGGTTCTGGACCATTGGCAGGTCATCAAGCAAGCTGCTTCTGCTCACCATGACGTTTCCCAACTCTTTTCTTTCGACAATTGGATGGGCAAATCGGGGACACGCGGCGTTGAGAGAAAGGGCAATAAGCAAAAGAGGATAGTTAGAATATACTGACTTTTTTCTCCTGCTCTCCGATACTATGCAATCCACCTCGTCTAGGCGACAGTTGGTACACGGAGCTCCATGCTCTGTGACGTTGCATCGTACTTTGCGGGCTCTACAGCATTGGCAAGCCTTCGATGCCCGTCTCTTGACCGGCCTGCCTGTGGATGTGCCGTCTAGGCCTGCTCCGGAGGCTTTGCGTTTCACAGGCGACGACGTCTTGGGTGTGATTTGCTCTGGCGAGTCCGAAGCGATGGAGGAGGAGTCCGACATGGCTGCTGTTGATGTGTATATGTAAATGGTATCGTAGTGGTGAAGTTCGATATGAGATATGGCAAGCTACGGCCGGAGTAGCGATGTTTGATGATGCTTGATGTGGGAGAGCAATTGAGCACGCGGCCAAAACATGCCAAACACACGCCGGGGGATCACGATGGCTATAAGTATGATAGTGAATTTGCCAGGGCCATAGGCCATCGCCCAGGGTGGCCGTACCTCTAGCCATGTTGTGGACGAGCGGAGGATTCACGAGCCTGGCTAGTGAGTGTTGCGAGTGTGTGCTCACGGTCCCACCCCATCCATCCAGAACAGCAGGTCAAGCTTCCAAGCATGCCGTATAGGTCATAGGTTGATAGCGGCCCCCCCTGGTTCGATGTTGGTGAGGACAAGTCGCCCATCATCGGGACACTCCATTTGTGGAGTCTGCGCCTAGCAGCATCTCATGCATCTGCCACAGCAAGACTGTTTTGTGGAGGGCTCCCCCAGCCTACTCGGGCCGGGTCTCCTACTCCGTTTGGTTCTGCCAGTGCTGCCATCCGCTGACTATTGAACTGTCTACCACTATTACCCCAGTTCCTCTGTCTGTTGTCTGTCTGTTGCAAGAGACGAGGACCTGACGTAAGGAATCTGTGGGCGTGGCGCACTCATCTCGATCTGCATGTGCTTCATACCCTAACCTCACCAACAAAGTACCTAAAGCTCGAGCCGTCAAGCTTCTTCAACCTGCATCGCCCATATCCGATGGAAGGATGGATGAATGCATGAGCGTTTTTTTTTTGCGTGCTGCACGCAACACACACTTTAATTAATGAATTACGCTGCAAAGAACTGGAGCTCTCTGCACGCACTCGACTCGACACTCAAAGCTCCACGTGAACCCCACAGATGGATGGATGGATGGACGACGCCGGCAAGTCCCCTCGGATGCGGTAGCGGTAGCGGTAGCGGTATAGAAGGTAGTACTCACATTCAATTAAAACGGCCCAATGCTCATACGGCCGATTACAATCCACAAGGGGGCTCGCCGTCTTGAACAGTGGAGAGTGAAAACGCTGTCGTCTTGCTCCGAACCAACGCCGCGTGTAGGTAGATTGTAATACAGGCCCGGTCGCCGGCCGGCCATGGACTTCCCAAGCACATCCGCTAATCCAGCTTCCGTCAGGAGGCAAAAAATTGATGATTAACCACACTCCACATGAACAATTCGACTTCTCCACATGCGTTGTCGATGTCGTTCTCGTCGCCAGAACGCACGTCCGCTCGTCTCCTGCCTGCTTGCGAAATTGAATTGTCATATGACAATTGGACACACCTGAGCTAGCCAGCATGTGTGTATGTACATATGTATGTAATCAAAGTGTGGTTCTCTTACCCTGCCCTGCAAGTTGCGCCGCCGCTCCATTCCATCGCGAAGTCAGCAAAGATCAGCCAGCGTCACTGGCGCAAGCGCGCAATAGTAATCTCCCTCCAGACTCCATCCCTAAAACCGATGCGTGACGCGAGATTGATATGGTGTGAAGCTTGTTTTTATTTCTTTGTAAATGGCACTTGATATTCGATCGGTGAGAGCCAATCACACACGCTGCCTAGTTCAAGCGTTTGGGTGGTTGGTGCCTTGACCGCAACGGAGATAGCTGGGGTATGCATGGCAGCATATATGGGCAACAACTTGCGGGGGGGTGGTCGACTTGTGTCGACATTCGATCACGATCTCCCCATGTTATCGACAGTTCTGTCATAACAGTGCGGGCTTGCGGGCGGTTTAGCACAGGACTTTCTGTGCTGTCTGTTGTTGTGTAGTGTTCTTTTCTGCCGTTCGTCTGAGTCGCTGTAGCAGTGTTAGTATGATTGCTAAGAGGCAAGCCCGGGAATAAGTGCCGCGCCACCAAGCCAAGCCATCACCATTCTTCTCTCTCTCGCCATGGATGCTCTGCATATTTCACTTACACACGTGAGCTGCGTCTGTGCCCCCGTCTTTCTTTGACGCGAGCTATTACGACCAAGCTGTTCCGGTTCTCGTTGGTCCCAATGCAGTGCGATCGTGAATCTCTATATCGAATCGACATCCTGCCTCTCTTTCCGCTCTCTGCTGCACACTCTCTCAGCCCAGCAAGCACCAAAACGGCATGGTATTCACTTCCTAACCCTGCTGACACCACTGCTGACTAGTATTCTTTCATCCATATGATCGTCCCGCTATGCATATCACTCCCTCCTCCTGTCAAACAAACCCTTTTCCCCCCTTCAGCGTTACCCCAGATTTCTGGCAAGCAAGCAAGCCACCACAAGAAGCAATCACATTTATTAGCGTGTTTACTACATTTGGCGCTAGGGCTAGGTGTATCCCCTTGCCGCGCCCCACTGCCATGCTCGCCATATTCCCCCATGGCCAGCGCCAGCTAATTACCCCAGCTTTTTGGCTTCCTCCATTCCCATTCTTGACCAGTAATCAGCATTGCAATCCGAGCCGGCCATCATCGACCATGTGTCTGTCGAGCTAAGTACACGACATCGCGTCAGACCAACCAATAGCCTTCTTGAGAAGACTCTCTTGTGAGACGTCATACCGTTGTCGACACGCATCTTGTCGAATCGTGCTTTTGTATACCTGCTACCCGTTGTGGTGGATCGGAGATTCCTGGTGCGGAAATCCTCTCACAACATTTCTGCTTCACAGCCTATCAGATCCTGTCCAGACTCGATGCTTCAGGAAAACCTTGTCTCCGCATTTCCTAACGTCTGGCGCGCGAAGACAACGTATCTCGATCTGCGGGATGGATGGATGTGTGGTGTGTGTGTATGTGTGCACACATCATATCCAAAGCATGATTCGCGTTCGTGCACCCTTCCTTCCCTGACAGCGGGCTTCAAACAAAGAGCTTGGCCGGAGTCATCTCCTTGTCGATTTGCTTGTTGACGTAAGCTGATGCTGAATATCCATACCATCTACATAGGTGCAAGTTCGTCAGACCTTAGAAATGCGCGTGGCAGCTTCAATGTCACGCTGTTGCAGCTGGCTAAAGCTTTGTAAGACGTCAGATCGACTGACAGCTGTGCTTCGTGTCAGTCTCAAGCTGCTCTGTGTGTAGGACAACTCATGCCATTCAAGTGTTACCTCATCACGTTGTCACGATGGACTGTGCCCCCTGCCTGTCTCAATGATACTCACCGCTTTTCAGCTAGTCATCCCTCACCTTCCAATTCCCGGAATCTGCACCATGCCGGTCCGTTCATGGTGAATTTATGATTTTGTTATGCCAATTCGTGAAACAATTATAACACTGAATGGCCTAGAAGGATTGATCATTGATGAGAGATCTCACGTCGTCCCGTGACTTAGCAAGAATTCTTCCACTGACTTGCACTCACGACCAGCTGTACCTGTACATTCACTCACTGAGCTGTCCAAAGGCCCCATGATGCTATATTCATAAGTTGTATCTTCGCTCTTTTTGACACGAATCGCGCTGGTCAGGCATCACCAGTAATGCACAAAACGACTGTTATTACTCCTCCAGAAATACTTATCGCACAAAGATACAGCCAAAAAAAAGAACATCGATAGAATCCGCTAAAAGATCAGTATATGTTACAATTTCGAAGAGCCCTTGCCCAGCTCCTTCGTCTTTCGTTGGTAGTTCTTCACCAGTTGTCGCACTGCTAGATCGAGCATGACGTCTTCTGAGCCTCCTGGTATTCTGCTCGGAGATTAGTATATAACTGGCTCATAGAAGGGACTGATAACTGACCTCACACCTGGCACATCTCGGTATAATCCTATACGCTGATTAATACTGCTGGTCCCTTCAGATGTTTGGTGGTAAATCTTACTCTCAATCAATTCGCCCTGGCCTGACGCAGTGTATCCATTCCCGCCAAAGAGGAGAATAGCACACTGCGCACACTCATTGACGACAATACCCGCCTGCGCCTTGCAAAGTGCCGTGAGACCACCAAGCTCCGTATCCGCGGTCGCTTTATCAAGCTTTGTCATCTGGTACGAGAACTGTTCCACCCAAGCCCACTGACTCTCAAGCATAGCTCCACATCTCGCAAGACGATTCCGGATCACAGGTTGGTCGATCAACGGCTTGCCAAACGCCTCCCTCTTCATGACGTATTCGAGCGCGGTGCTGAGTGCAACACGGGACTGCCTTGTTGCGCCGATTGCGATGGACAGGCGCTCGTGGTTGAAGTTGGTCATGATGTACTTCATCCCGGCGCCTTCTTGGCCTATTGTGTTTTCAACGGGGACTTTGACTTCGTCGAGCTCGATGAATGTGGTGCCAGAAGTGGCGAGTCCACCGACAGTCATACGGCGCATTTCAACACCTTCTTGGCCGAGAAGTGGGACGGCGATCATGGAGATGCCGCCTGGGCCTTTACCGCCTGTTCGGACGGCCATGGCGGAGATGTGAGCCCATATACCCTGGTTCCGTATGGTCAGCATCATTGCAGACGTGTATACAAATATATTTTCGGAAAGTCACCAACATTTGTGATCCATTTCTTCGTTCCGGTAATGATCCAATATTTGCCGTCCTTGGACTTCTTACCCTCAGTGGTGATATTAGCGACATCACTGCCAGCATCTGGCTCGGTAATGGCAATACACGCGCGCTTCTTGCCGAGGAGAAGATCCGGCAGCAGTCTGTCTTGGAGTTCCTTGCTTCCGAACTTCAGGATTGGAGGCACGCCGAACGCGATACCAGTGGTCAGGGACGCACTTGGGCCGCCGAGACCATTGCGAGCCATCTACAAATGAATGTCAATACGAGTTGTCCTCAGGCATCGGTCAACACTTACCTCATCAGCGTAGATCAAGCCGTGGATGGCGTCAAAGTCTTCCACCTTCAACCCAAGAATGTCGTTGATCCCGAGTGATTTCAAGCGCTCGACAGGCAGAGGAGCAGGAAGATTGGGAATAAGCATGTTAACTTTCACGAATTCATCCCAGACGCTCCCCGGCAATGTTTTCTCCTTGTCCCATTCTAGCACCCAGTCAGGCCCAGCACGTCCAATCCATGTCGCAGAAACTCACCCAAGGCATTTTCCGTAAGATTCTTTGTTATGAACTCGCGACAAGCTTTCTGCCATTTCAGATGTGTTTCTTTGTAGATCGGTGATGGTAGCCCGCAGAGATAGGGCGGATCCGAGAATGGTACAACCGGTTGAGATGTCATCTTAAATATACACGAAGTTCCGATATGCAATATCTAAAGCAGATGTGATTGTTTTCTCTTCAATCCGGCGTCTCGACAATGCCGACGGGAACTTAAGCTATGCTTCTTGCACCCTGCTTGTCCCCGCTACTGTGGACCGAGACGCCCGAGGTAGCGGTGCGGAGCAAGACAGGGCTGATCCACGTGACCTTGAATCAATTCAATCTACGACAAGGGTCGATGCTCTCCGTTGTTCAGGCGATTGCATCATTAGGAAATCCCGTCCGATCCGTTGGCACTGTGTACATCAGCTAGCAGCCAGGGCCGCAACACACGAGAGCCCGGAAATACGCATCCCACGGCTCGTCTTATTCCCCTTAGCGCCCTCCGCATAGAACATGAACATGTATGTGCATGCATACCCCCTTGTACTTATCAAAAGCAAACCGATCACTCCTGTCTTCATCCATTACGAGGAGCGGTATCTGAGGGCATTGACTCGCAACCCCCGGCCTCCTATATTGTATACGGCAACAGAAACGGCGGCGTGAGTGCTTGGCTTCCGTACGATACTATAATTGTATCATTTGAGTCTTCTGTCAGTATGCAACGTGCTTAGACGAACATGTGAAGTATTCGACTAGCTGTGAGCGGCTCGGGCAACACTGTCATAGCACAGGCTATGCAGTTTCTCATTCCTTTTATACTATCTCGAACTCATAGTAAACATATGCGGTATACTCGTTGCCATCGGCATGCCCGGTGGCTTGCATCTCATTCGTTAGCGCTGTATCATCCTTCTTGACGCGACCTTGTTTGTCCTTGCCAAACGCGTTGCCACCAAGGTATGAGTACTCTCCCTCTAAGGAGGTCTTCACCTTCTTCAATACCTTGGGATTTGTCTGCATTTGAGTCAGACCACAAAAGAAGCTTGAAGTCGAAACACATACCTGTACTAACGCGCAAACGAAGTCCAAAGGCAAGCCGTATCTCAGGACGGTCTCCACAAAGACTCTCAGCGCCAGAACATGCACCCAGACCATAGCGCTTTCGCTGTAGCCTGTCCTTCCTAGTCGTAATGCCTCGCCCCAGACTTTCCGCTCGTCTTGGCTAAGCTGCTCGGCTTCCTTCCGCTCCTCCTCCTTGTCTCCTTCCTTATATTTGTACTCTCTTGGCGTCCACCTCTTCTCTCTACATTTGTGGATGAATTCAGCGCTATGCTTCTTAAAGGTCACTACCGTATACAAAGTAAATTCGTCATCCGAGGCGACTTGTGTCGCCGATCGCGGGACAGTCATGGGCGTTAGTGTTTCGTATGACTTCAGAAAGTCTTTGAGGAGTTGGTTGGGTACAGCTATGAGGTGAGTGTCCAAATATTCAGAATCTTGTATGAGGGCCTTAGGTGGTACAATGGCAGCAAGCGACCGGGTCGAAAGATTACCCCTAGGGCAGAGCGTATCAGTCGAAGGTTTTACATAGTCTTCATCATGAGGAGTACATACGTTTGACGTCGTTGTGAGGCAGCAAGATTAGTCTTAACCTGGTTATACTGGTTGAACTTTGCTTTTACGTCGTTGTCAATGCTGGCAACTTCCTAACAAACAATCAGCTGATGCGACCGGGCAACTCAAATACAGACACTTACTTTGTGGAGAGAGTCGATGAGCTCTGATATCGACTTGTCAGCCCTATACTTGACTTTGTTCCATTGAAATGAGCGCAGGTACTGGTCGACAGGCTCTATATACGACGTCAGAATCATTCATTCGAGTAGCAATGACCCGTGAGCCTTACTATCATTGATTGTTTTTTGCTGTGTGATCTTGCTCTCGTCGCCATCAAGCAAACTTCGTAGCGAATCCCCAACCTTATTGACCACACCTTCACAACCGCTCTCGAGCTTTGCAAGATCATCCGCTTGTTGCACCAGTGCATCAAGTGAGCCTATCTTGAATCCAGGGATCGAGAAAGCGTAGGTTGATCCATTGTCTGATACTGTCTTCCGAACATGCTCGAGTGCTTCGTCGTGGTGGCTTGATGGGACAATGGATGCGGGTAGCGAGATGAGACAGTACTTCACGCCCTTGGACATGATTGAGAGACGATCCAAAGAACAATAATGTTATGCCGAGGGGGGAGGGAGGTCGCGTTCGTCAACGATGTTTTATGCCGATGCTTGCTTCAATACCTAGCTCCAGCCTCAAGCAACGGAGAGCGGTACTTAAGCCGCCTTTCCACTTTCGTCATAGCGCTCGGGCGGGGCAGTCGAGCAGAGCTCTCAGGTCCTCCGATCGCCTATCGGCGGCACAAGCAGTGCTCAAGATATATCTTTCTACGTCTCGCTCCGGTAACTTTCTTTTCGCAATTGCCCTGCATCAACTTACGGTCATGTCGGGTAAACGGAGGCTCATGGCTATACAGCCAGCCATTAGCGGTATCGTTCGCTCTCATACAAGCTTCAATGGCTTGCGCAAAAGCATCGCATACCTGCCGCCGTTATCGGTAGCTGGTTCACGTCTACCACGCAGACCCGCGGTACAAACCAGGCAATACGCTACCAACAACTCTGCTGCGATCTCTGATCCAGATGCAAAAACACCTCTATACGATCTCCATGCAAGCTATGGAGCCAAATTTGTACCATTCGGAGGCTATGTCATGCCCGTCCAGTACTCCGACCTCAGCGTTGGGGAGTCACATAAGTGGACGCGCGAAAAAGCCAGCATATTCGACGTTAGCCACATGTAAGCTCGAATACGTACTCAACTCGAATTCAATTTCTCATTCACTTCATAGGGTTCAGAATCGTCTCACCGGACCATTAGCTATAGAGTTTCTCGAGACTATAACACCTGCCGAACCTGCCGTTCTTGCACCCTTCACCTCTACCCTCTCCGCACTTCTCAAGCCATCTCCCCGCGAAGGCGGTATAATCGATGATTGTGTCATTGTCCGTCTTGGTCCCGAAGAGTTCTACTTCGTCACTAACGCCGGCTGTCGAGAGAAGGACCATGCCTATCTTTCGTCCGAACTCAAAAGGTTCCATACAAAGCACGGCGATGCCCCTAAATGGGAAATCTTAGAAGGCAAAGGATTAATCGCCCTACAGGGACCCCTTGCCGGTCAAATACTAGAAGATGCACTAGCTGGTACCGACAAGGCAAAGCTAGGAGGGCTATACTTTGGCTGTTCTATGTATGGTAAAGTCACCCTGCCCACTGGACAATCAAGCGACCTACTCATTTCACGCGCTGGGTACACCGGCGAAGATGGATTCGAGATCTCAATCCCTGCCGAGGAAACCACCGCGGTGACACAATTCCTGCTCGAGAGTGCAGGAAAGGAGAAGCTCCGTCTTGCAGGTCTAGGTGCGCGAGATAGCCTGCGCTTGGAAGCCGGCATGTGCCTTTATGGGCATGATCTAAACGAGGACATCACTCCACCTGAGGCCGCCTTATCGTGGATCGTGGGCAAGAGTCGCAGAGAGAAAGGCGGTTTCTACGGCGCCGACACGATCAACAAGCAGATCCTTGGAGTGAAGAAAGGAGGTTCCCCTATCGAGAAGCGTCGGATAGGACTGATAGTAGAAGGAGCCCCTGCCCGTGAAGGTATGACCATTCACGACGACACAGGGGCAGAAGTTGGAGTCATCACATCTGGATGCCCTTCGCCGACACTGGGAAAGAACATCGCCATGGGCTATATCAAGGATGGTATGCACAAGTCAGGTACAGAGGTCCAGGTCAAGGTCAGGAGCAAAATGCGCAAAGCAACAGTGTCGAAGATGCCATTCGTACCAAGCAAATACCACAAGCCTGCTGCACCACCATCCTAAGACATGCATCAGGACTGAGCATTGGAGTTTGGAGCTTTGATTATGGATTACGATTTTCAACAATCCTCGAGCGGAGGTGCTCGTATGTAGGGGATCTAGCGGTATAACTTGAACTATGTACCCATAAGTTCAACCATGAAACCAATATGTGCAACACCTAATGTCCCTCATGACTCATCGTGGCGACGGCTCGTCAAATATGATGCCGATAATCTCATCAAGTAACGTGAATACCAGGTGTGTACTATGGCATTGTTAGCAGACCATCTGTGAATACTACCACATAGGCAACTCACTTCAATCGCTGATTATTGAACGTCGCCGCGATCCTTCTGCTCGCCTGTTGGGCGTTCTGCCTGCCCACCACATTCGCCGCCAAATCTGGTACCAACGTGGCTAGCAGCACACTTGCCTCCTTCTTGCTCGTTTTCTTCTCTGCCTCTGTGCGAGGCACCGATGGACGCATCTTCCCGCCTGGCCACATAGTATCCCGCGCCATGTTAAGATACCGCACAACGTTATCTTCCTCGACCAGCCCACGCGCCATATCCCGCACTTTGCGCTCAATCGTGCCGCCTAACAGCTGATGCAGTACGACCACCACGGCCCGGCCACGGAGCCAGTTGTTGTTCGTGTTGAGGCTAAAGATCTCGACGAAGAGGTCTGCAATGGGCTTGACAAAGGGCTCCAACTCTCTATTCTCGAACGCGCGCAATTCAGCCTCAGCTTCTGTCGATGTCGCTGGGTCGTCATTCAAGACAGCGCCTGGCAGGCCAGTGGATGTAGAAGTATCGTTCGGCGCGGTGGCAAGTTGAGATGTCGCGGCACTGATAAGGTTCTGCCCAGCTACGGAAAGCTGGTCTAACACGGGAATGTTGCCGAGAAACTCCTCCATGCCGTCGGTAACGGAGCTGTAGATGCGGGACACAAAGTCGCGGGAGTCGACTTCGGAACCATGTTGGTCTGATGAGGAGATTGCGTGTTGTGAGAGAAAGGCGCGAAGCTCACGCGAGCGGCAGATAGCGGGAATCAGTAGAATCTCGCGGAGCCAGCGCTCGAGGGCAAGACGACGTTTCTGGAGGAAATCTTTTTGGAGCTTGAGCATGACTTGTCGGCGAGGGAACTCCAAGTTTCGGATATGAGGGTAGCGTGCTTTCAGTTTCTTATTGAGGTCGTGGAATTCACTGTAACGTCTCGTGATAGCCCAGACTGCAGCTGGCATCTGATCGCCTGCTTGTCGTTTGACTTCAATGACATACATTGCATACTCATGGCCATCGTCCTCCGTGCCAACCATGATAGATGTTATCGAGATCGTTGCTCGTCCGTACAAGCTATTGTCGCTTTCTTGTACGATGTATTGTTGCCTTTGGAGCTCCTTTCGGTGCAACTCACGCTGCAAACTAGCTTTGGACTTGCGAAGGATTCTTAGTTCGGCAGCATTATTAGTGAGCTCGGCTTTGTTTGTCAACGAATCTACGATGGACTCTTGAGTCACCAACTTTTCGATGTCTTGCGTCAAAGAATCGATGGCTTCAGCTAGGCCCAGATCCCCCGGAGCGGCTTCGTGAATCTCGTCGTCCTCATTGTCACCTTTCTTCTCCGAATCATCAACCTCGTCTTCCCGAAACTTGGCTTCTTCGCTACCGAAAAGATCATCTTGATTGAAGACACCCAAGCGTGATGGAGCTCCAACAAGACCCAAAGAGGCTATACTCGGTCTCATCCCCTGAGATAACGGCGAGTTAGATCGTTGAATCTCGAACGACCCTCTCAGTGAATCTTTATCGACTGGAGACTTGTCGAATAAAGGCTCTCGTTCCGGCCCATCGTCACCCATAATGTCATTCAAAGCTGCCTGCATTGCATTTACTACATTTGCATCACTACCCGTCGCTGGTGGGTCCAATTCCGATTCAAGACTTTGCGTTGACTGTCCGAGAGCATCTGAATCATATTCGTCGTCAAATAATGGTGTACGAGCCGGAGTAGCGTCTAGGGATCGCCGTGCTGCTTGCTCGGTACCAGGTGTGGTGTGTTCCTGGAGATTTGACGAAGAGACTGCGGCTCGACGCAAATCAGTCGGCTTCTGCAGGACGTGCTTTGCACTACTGGACCGTGGGAGCCTCCCGAGATTGCGCGAGTGAGATGATTGTGTATGGTCACCTTGATGAATACTGGGACCAGACACTGAGGACCCAGCCTCATCAGATGCAAGCCATTTGTACCACAGATCTGTTCTTTTGAACTTCTGGAAGTACGGATCCTGCATTTCATTGTACACTGCAGTCTGCGCTCGAAGGACTGCCCTCCTTGCTGCGTGGTACTGCAATGGACTTGCGTCCTTTCCAGCCCTCAAGAACTCTGACACTGGGTGCCTCGATTTAGAGGCTATCTCCAGCTCGCTTTTGGTGAGGTACGCATCATTGATCTGTGCAATGTCCGTTCGCTCGGCTGCTGTCCACTGTGGTAGAGTCTCAGTGGACTCGTCAACTTCTTCGTTGTCTTCTTCTAGCGGGTTGCGCATGCCATCTACAACTATCCAGAACTGGACAAGCCGCATCAAATTCTGACGATCCATGAACTCCATGAAGTACGAGAGCCCAGAAGAGCTATACAAAACTTCCCTTAACGAAGCATTTTCAAGCCTGGGTGCGGGGTTGTTGGATTTTGGCTTTACAAATTTTGATCTGGCAGCACCACCAACTCCCAGTTGAGCCACTTTCTGATCCAGGATCCTCTTTGCTGTCTCGAGACGTCTTAGATAGATTGTATCAGGGTTTTCGACTCCGGAGTCACGATACAATTGGCTAGCAATTTCGCTTCTAAAGCGCCGTGCATCGGACAGGGTGTTACACTGTTTGATGGCACGAATGAACCGCTCGAATTTTCGCTCGTTGTCGTTTGGAGAAAGCCTCGGGAATTGTCTTGGTCGGAGGTTCTGCGGTGACGGAGGAGCATGTTCGTCCAAGGCTTCACGTAATTTGCGAACTGTTTTGCGGTCTTGAAGTATAGTGTGACCCTGGTGGACCGTTAACGAAAGTGATGCGAAAGTTTATTAGGGCTTACATATGCTTCCATCATCTTATTCCACGTATCTGCATCCGAAAGCATCTGCATGACAGGGAATAAAACGGCACAAGATACAATCTCCTGGATCAGAACTGTTACGGCTCGACTTGTAGTCATGTTTGTTGGAAGAACTTTAGGTAACAGTCTAGTGACAATGGTACGCAGATGTTGTTGTTGACCCAGTTTTGTGTTTGAAAACGCCAGGGACGCGGCTGGGTGTAGCTTACCATCCTTGTATTTCGCAGCGATGGCAAGATCGAGCTCTTCAGATTCAGTCACATTCCTCGACAGCATTCGACCGCGAACAATTTTCTCAGCTTCATAGAATTCTTTCATATGGCTTGTAATTATTGGGACGAGTTTTGACGTTCCGACAGCTATCAGGTCAACAGCCAGCACTCTGTCTCGTATATTTGCCAGGGCTTCCCGCATAGACCTGTCCACTTCGATCGTAAACGCTGGCCTCGTACTGATGCGATCATACCAGCTTCGTACGAAATCCCGCAGTATGAGATCTATCAACCCATCGATGTTCCCAGATATAAGAAAAGACGGCTCGTATATGGGTTCTCGGAGGTATTCTGAGCGAGCACTCAACGCTCTCGTCTCGGCTTCCCAGGCGTCCGGTCTGGCAAAAGCCGCATGTCTAGGTCCGTAATTCCTTGCTCCTGCTCGTACACCGGGACCTCGGGAAGTAGTCAACAGGAGCCATGCAATCAGAATAACAGTGCAGAGGACTCCGGTAGAAAATGCCCAAGGCAGATAGCGACTGGAAGGTATCCAGTGGGTCACAAAACCCCAAGCGATGAAGACTGCAACTCCTGCAAGGATCACATCTCTGCGGCGTAGGGCCATAGTCCGTCGAGATCCATCCGCAGGTCCGATAGTGCTATTACCATGTTGGTAGCGAGCGAGACGGGCGCGTCATGTCGCAGCATGTAGAGTTATGTTGTATAGACGTCGATGAGCTGTCACAGCTTAGAACAAGGAGCGTCACCCTCACCTTGCCCCACCTCCGGCTTTAGCGTACTCCTGCTGACCTCCGCTCTTCCCCGACTTCAGGGGAACTTGGGGAAGAGTAGCAGAACACAACAATTAACTCTATGTGAGATTCTATGTGAGACCTAGATATAATCATACCGCTTCGCTTCTTACGCTGTGTACTATAGTGAAGGGATGCTATCTTTCGCACGTCTCTTACAGGGTTGATTGAGCACTCGATAAATCTACTTGTGCATGCATTTGGCACGCCACACCACTATGTTCTGTATTTGCGAAGTCGTATCAACTTGCTACTTCTTTATCATTTCTACTAGAGTAGAGCCTGAGGTCTCACAAATAGAGCATACTGTTGAAGATATTCGCAGTAGATCCTTCCATGTGTCTGTCCTTCTTAGCCTAGTGCTTTAGCCTTGACCCCTGCCTGAGTCTTCCCCCAACTCTAGCGTGGCTCGAGTCGATAATGCTTAGACTTGATGCGTCGAGCAGGTTGATTCATGCCTTGATAGGGTGGTTCCTGGCATCAATGAAAACCGCTGCTTGAGGTAAATTTTGCCAGTCCGTCTATAGCGCCTATAATAATGGATCGAGTTTGTAGTGTCAAAGCTATCTTCCGTAGCGTATGCTGCCATGAATGTATACATCTGTGAGCTTTCCAGGGATTACTGGGCTGAAAGACCTCGAAAGTTGCTATACGAAGACCATAGGCCTTTCAAGGAGCCGCAGTAATGGAAGTAGATGTGGTGGCTAATGTGGAAACTTCAGACGTTGTGGCATTCGGGACTGCTAACGGGAGACCTTGGCTGTCGCCCGCCGGTGTTGGAGCTCCTTGAGGAGGGTTGATAGACTGGGGTCCTCGCCCACCTCTGCCAATGATACCGCCTCGACCACCACCACGGCCTCTGCCAGCAAAGGCCCCACCCCGTACGGTGTTTCCCCTTGGTGCCGTAGGGGGGCTCGGCAACACCTGAGTAGGTGCAATTCTTTTGGCCGGACGGTCTTTTCGCTCGAGGACCTGAACGGCTCCCTGAGCAATCTTGACGGGACTAGCAGCGATCGCCTTCTGTAATCCCTCCGGCTCGACAAACTCAACATAAGCGAAGCCCTTACGCTTGTCGATCTCGACTCTTTCGACGGCACCAAAAGCCGACAAAGCAGCTTCGATCAGGGGCTCAGTAATTCCTTGAGACGGATTGGCATGTTTGAGAAATCCCTGTTTGCCAGTCGGAGCTAGTGTGGTAGCAGCATCCCCCGAAACTGACGGTGGAACAGAAATTGGCGGCGCTTGTCGCGAAGCTGCAGGTCCTTTCGGGGTTGCTGATGGCAATTTGGGTCCTGTTGGGGGTAATGCAGAAGCACTAACAGGCTTTGGAACATTCGCAGGCTTCCTCAATATCGTGGGTGCTACAGGGGGTTTGACCTTTGAGGCGTCATCCGCGGGTGTCTCGACTCGGTCTTTATTTTCAGCGATTGCTGCTTTGTGCGCTCTTCTTTCAGCGCGAGAGAAACGACCTTTCTCCTTCAGTGGTCGGGACGACTCTCCCGAAACAACACCTTTCTCCGGAGTTGGAGTCACACCAGCGATTTCCCTATCTTTGACCGAAACTGTTGGTTCTCCGCTCTTGGCTGCTGATTCGGCGGTTGTCTCTCTCTTTGCACCACGACGTCCCTTGACTGGCGCTGGACCTATGCCAAGATCACGCTGGAGCAGTGCCTTTGCTGCTGCAGTACTACCACGCTCACGTTTTTTTTCCGAGGTCGAGCCTGCAGGTGGGATATTCTCCTGAGATTTTGCGCCGACAGACGCGCTTCCAACTTCTTTGTTGAGGACTTTGACGGCTTCTTTAGCCGCTTCTTTGCGGCTCAACTTTTTAGGCTTTTCTACAATGCCACCATCTTTACCAATCTTAAGCTTTCTGTCCGGCTTTTCGTCCTTGGATTCACCTCGTGCGTGCTTGGACAGCTTCGATCCGGGCTTCTCTTTGGCCTTCTTTTCTCTTAAGTGTTCGATGAGTGGGGTAGTAGTAACTTTCTCTCCTTTCTGAGCAGATAGGTCAGATGCTTCTGAAGCACTCGGCTTGTTGACAGGGTTAGTCAAGCTCATGAGGAAGTCCTGGTATTCCGGGTCTTGATCGATCTGTCCTTGGCGAGCATCGTGTCTGACGCGACGACCTGTAGGTATTCTCGCGTACAGAGCATGCTCAAGTGAAGGCGGTGCAATTAATACAGGGTCCTTTCCTGTGTTACGAGCGTCAATAAAGGTCGTTTGTTTGACCTTATCATGAAGAATAGCGACATAAGCAGAGTCCGTGAGATGAAGCAAATATCGAGATGGCTTAGAAGTTTTTGTAAGACTGGATTGATTCGTTAATCATGTCACTGTCCAACGTCAAGATGTGTAAACATACTCTGTAGAGGTCCGGCCCTTTCTGAAATTGGCCCAGTCAACTCTACCATTGCCAGGCTTCCATTCGTCACCCAGTGTCTCCTCTAGCTCACTCTTTGTAAGACCTGGGGGAAGTCTGCGTATGCAGAACTTCAACTTTGGCTTCGGAGGAGTGCCTTTGGGCCCGCCTCGAGCGGCTGATTGAGGCGCATTCTTCTGGAGGATTGTTGACGGGGCAGGAAGCACACCATTAGCAGCTCCAGCCTGTGAGGGGTTTGGCATTCTAGGAGGTTAAGGCGTGTTGCGTACAAGTGAGGTTGGGGCGGTTCGTGCTAATCAAAAAGGTGAGGGTCTGATGTGACAAGGGAATATATGGCGTTGCCAATGAGGGACCAGATGGATGAAGCTGGTTCGGTGATTGAGAGCTGAGGAACGATATGGAGACAACATTTGAGAATTGACTTTAAAAAGACGTCGGTAGTATGGTCGGCGAAGGACAACAAAGAAGTAGCAAGCGACGATAACAGTCGCGAGTTCGCAATCGAGTTCCCGCCTGGTGATATCAGCATCCATAGATTCTAGACGGCACCTGCCAGCCTGACGCCCCACCAAGGGAAACCTCACCGCCTAGCAAGAACGGAAAGGCGCGTCGAGGACATCCAGCCCGAGCCTGACGCACGGCGAACACAGTCAACCTTCAATGACCATGTCCTCGCAAGAATAGCCAGATATTCTCGCGGTCTCCTCTCGTTCTTTATTCCTGCACCATGCGCCTTTCTGCGCACAAGTCACTCACCTCGTACACTTGCGCTTGATTGTCGTCAGTGCTGCCTTCACTTCCTTGAGCCGTCCAATGATACCACCAAAGTCCGATACATCGCCGCAGTCACACGACAGACCTTTATTCCTACGCATTTATTCCTTCTACAACTGAGAGAAGTACACAAACCGCCACCATGGCAAAAGCTGGCGACGTGCCGCAACCAGGTCCGGCGCGACTTTCCAAGGGCGCGGGGCCTGACGAATGGCTTGCACAGGCCAAATTGTGCAGATATCTTCCAGAGGCCGACATGAAACGTCTCTGTGAGATAGTCAAGGAGTGCTTAATGGAAGGCAAGTCATTTTGGCCTTATTCACTTCTCTATAGCTAGCAGCCTCAGTATGCACGTTTGAGGTTGCTGGGCGGCACAACGATGTATTCGTCTCTTACTGACTGCAACACAGAGTCGAATATCCAGCCTGTAAGAACTCCAGTGACGGTGTGCGGTGATATTCATGGTCAGTTCTACGACCTTCTCGAGCTTTTCAGGGTTGCCGGAGGCATGCCAAACGATGGCGCTCCAGCACCCCCAACCGTCCCGACCAAGACCATAAGCGCTGCAGACATAGAGCCACCGAGTACAATCAAAGATCCAAAAGCAAAGCGGAAGATGAAGAGGAGGTTTCAAGCTGATAAAAACTACACATCACCTAGTAATGCCGAAGAGTTGGAGGAGGATGCCGACGAGGAAGAAGAGGAGCAGCGGGGTAGAAGTAGGAGTGTGAGTGCCGCAAGAAGCACGATGTCGAATGAAACAGAAACATATGAGAATGTAAAGCTTGGAGGTAACGGTCAGCAGAATTACATCTTCCTCGGGGACTTCGTCGACCGCGGTTATTTCAGTCTAGAGACATTTACATTGTTGATGTGCTTGAAGGCAAAGTAAGTTCAACATCTACCTTGACCAATCTGAACGCCGTGCTCATCATTCTCAGGTTTCCAGATCGAGTCACACTTGTTCGGGGTAACCATGAGTCCCGTCAGATCACCCAGGTCTATGGGTTCTACGAAGAATGTCAGACGAAATACGGAAATGCCTCTGTGTGGAAAGCCTGTTGTCAAGTATTTGACTTCTTAGCTCTCGCTGCTATAGTCGACGGGAAAGTTCTCTGCGTGCACGGCGGACTGTCACCAGAGATTCGGACCCTTGACCAGATTCGAGTTGTGGCAAGAGCTCAAGAGATACCTCATGAAGGCGCCTTCTGCGACCTTGTCTGGAGCGACCCTGAGGACGTTGACACCTGGGCCGTAAGCCCTCGTGGAGCTGGGTGGTTGTTTGGGGATAAGGTCTCGAGTGAATTTAACCACGTAAATGGTTTGCAGCTTATTGCCAGAGCGCACCAGCTGGTGAACGAAGGGTACAAGGTATGTGGACTTGGATAAATCATCATCGTGAACATGTTTTGACTGAGCATACAGTATCATTTCAAGGATAAGGATGTCGTCACTGTCTGGTCTGCGCCCAACTACTGTTACCGATGCGGTAATGTCGCCTCGATCATGTCTCTCGGGGAGGATCTCAAACCAGACTTTACAATCTTCAGTGCCGTACCAGACAACAGACGGGCTGTACCCGCCGGGAGAGGCACAAGAGGAGAATACTTCCTCTGATACGTTAATGACACATTCATCGTTCTACCGGCTCATGAATTACATGCAAGGCATTTGTGTGCGCTTATGGCTCACTTGGTGTTCAGTGTTTTGATGTTTCAATCATATATCAGGTACGAATTGACCACGGCACGGATTGGTATGGCTGATGATATGTGTATTATACCTTTTTGCTATACAGCGTATGAATAGATCCTGATGCGATGATTATCTTGCGGAGGCCGTCTCTGTATCTACAGGGGTTCCTAGCAACTATTTCGCCCATTACCAGTGAAATTTTGTGCTTGGTAGGCTCCCGTGGGATCTCCCAAACACTCAGCTGCGCAATCAATTAGCTTAAATACGGTCATTCAAGTAGCCGGAATACTTACCCACTGTCACCAGCTTCAAGTTGTTCTGTTTGGCCCAGTTGATCAACCACGGGGTCAGCTGATTCACAGTCGTTGCATACGTCTCATGCATCAACGGAATATGACCATTTCCACCCGCGCCCACCGCCGTAAACTTCGCCTCGCTCTGCGCCACAGTCTTCCCATTCCAATCCTCCGAGTCCACATCGTCAGTAATGACCCTGTACCCCAGCGTCTTCATTGTGCCCAGCACACTGCCGCCCGTAGCCAGATACGGCGGGCGCATATAAGTCGGCTTCCTGCCCACTATATTCACAAACGCCTGCTCGAGCTGCTGCATCTCCGCAGTCAGCTGCGCCGGCGTCAGCGAGCCAAAGTTCTGCGGATGCGTCCATGTGTGGGACGCGAGCTGGTGGCCGCTGGCAAACGCGGACTTGATGGCTGCGGCCTGCGCGTAGATGCAGCCGTACAGTGTGCCGGTGAGGAAGAAGGTGGCCTTTGCGCCGCCGGCGTTGAGCGTGTTGACGAGCGTCTGCGTGTATTGGTAGGGCCCGTCGTCGTAGGCGAGGGCGAGTTGGCCTGGTGAGGTGCAGGTTGTGATGATGACGCCGGCGGCTGGACCGGCGCGTTTGTATTCTTCGAGGGGGTCTGGGACGGGGATGGCGAGGGCTGTGAGGGCGAGGAGTGATGCGGTTGTGAGGAGTGAGAGATACATATCGATTGCTACTGGGTGAGTGTTCAGGGGGGTTTGGGATGTGGATGTGATTGTTCTGACGATTGGGACCACTTCAGAAGTAGTCCAGAGGCAGTTCTATATGTATCTCGAAATACGTCGTGCTTTCTTCCATTAATGCTTGCTGCAGGACTGCATCATGTAATGCATCTGGAGCATGTCATTCACAAATGAACTAAGAGCATATCCCGGGCCTTGCGTCCGTCGGATTCATTTAGCCGTGTGGTTATATCCAAGCACCAATATAGCTCGACACACCAGATATGTCATCTGCTAGTGGGATTACAGTGTACCTACGCAAGTAGTGGAGATGGCCTGCAATTAGCCTAAAAGGCGATCTGCTAAATCGCAAATTCCAGGACTCCCGCGGATCAACAGGATTCTGAGCTTTGCAGGAGTCCAGTAATATATATATATAGACCAACCATGTACCACGATGATAATTCTCTTGATATACCTTCTCAACCATATTGATCTCGAAACAGACTGCGTCCGAGGTTATTGGTTAAACGATATAATAATAATACTAATAATAATGTAAAGCTTGGTAGACTAGTAATACAGTACTCTACAGCCCCGTGCTTCCTCTAGTCTAAGTTATAAATATCTAAGAGAAAACTGTAGAGGTAAACATATCCTTCCATCCTTTTATTACAGATTCTGTCCATATCTTGCATGATGCTGTTGGATATGAGCTTGCATATCAACATATTCCGGCATATACCAACATATTTCCGGTATATACCGACATATTCCGCCATATGTCGGCTGTGCGGTTCAACGATATACACTTTTCATAATTACCATTTTGAGACCTGCTGGAGCCAATGAGGATCGAGTCTGCTTTGGAAAGAAAACAATGAATAGCGGGGAGGGGGGAGGGGGGCGCGCCGGGCAGGGGCAAGCTCCAGATTGCCACAGCATTGCTTGCTTGTTCACTTGCGGCGGGCCGCTCCTGCCTATTCAGAGATGTTGTTTCACGTTATATGTCACATGGTCGTGCGTCAGTCGCTATTGACGAGTCTATTGCTTGTCATGTTCTATAGAATCAGTGGTTGAGTCACCAACACTCCGATGGGATGTTATTTAGTGGCCAGCGACGAGGATTTTGATACTATCAGTTCGTTCTAGTCCTCTTGAATGAAAGTGGGATGATGGAGCACATTGTGAGTACTATTACGTATGAGAGCATCACGTCCATGGGGACGCATCATGAGGCTCAAACCCCTCACATATGACAGGATGGTTCGGCAGACGTGAAGACTGTAACAGAGCATGGCAGCAGAATAGATCAACATGGAGCAAGCATAATAGCTCTTTTCACTGGTCATTACTCAGTCTTCAGACTCCTCAGTCTACCCTTACTATTGTTTTAACATATCAGCAGGACTATTGTGAAGGGCATGTTATGCTTCCAATAAGGACCGGCTTTCTTCCTGTATCCCTCCACCCGCATTGGCGGTGTGCGACGAAGAGGTTTATTGAATAGGGCATGACGGGACCCATTCACTCGAAAGCTGCCAGCCAGATTTGGCCAGCTAGTTGTATATCATGAAGCTTCCTGTCTTATCTCTACGAAGTTCCTCAACACCCATTTCTTGTCTTCGAGCCATACTCGAAGCTTCCAGTTTCTGATCACCTTTGCTACTACTAAAGACTCACATCCATCTTCCGAATCCATATCTCTCTCATCTGTCGTGCGTGTTATTATTCATCAACCATGGGTCACAATCAGACAGCTTCAGTCCCCCTCAAGACTCCCCAGCCAGTCGAGAAGAAAGATTCGACACCCAAGCCTGTCATCCGCATGCCAATCCGAAAATCAGGAGTGCAGATCACCTACCCAGGCCAACTCCCCCCGAATGCACCGAAAGGAGCAATCGTAGCACCAAGACTGCCACCCCTATTTGCGATCAGAGCTTCGCATATCCCAACAACTCAAGCAATAGAACCCCATACCAATGCCCAAGATGCTCTAGAAATTCTGGAGCGCATCCAAAACACACCCCTGAAAGACCTTACCATGCGAGACCGCCACGACCTCGTCCGAGGCCCCAAGGTCTCCATCTGTCTTCGCACGCAGGGCAAAGTCTACATCATGCGCAACATCCCGCGCGCCATGCTGATGTATTTCTCCGAGCTTGCCCGCGAAAGACTGCGGTGCCCCGCCATCATATCTCTAGACATCGAGGGTGGCGAGACCGGTGTGCTGGGCAAGTTAATCGAGTACTTTGATCGCACATGCCGGACGAAGAGTGCTTTCAACATGCCTTTGCCAGAGAAGCTCGCGGATGGTATCAAGCTGTGGGTCATGGCGGGCAGGATCAAAGCGCATGAGACCGATGGTATGCTCAAGAGATCGATATACGCGCGGCTCGCAGCCTTTGCATTCGACATGGAGGATGTTGCGGCTATTGACAAGCAGTCAAGGTGTCAGGTATTGTTCAACCATGCCATGCACAAAGTCGCGCATCTGGTGCACCAGAATGAAGGATTTCCCGTACTACAGCAAGCTGCCTTTTTGAAGTTCCTGGAGATGCATCCGCGGGTCCGGCTTGCCATTTTCGAGATCAACGAGCACAAGAAGCCGGCCAAGCTGGACAGGCTGGTGTGGTGGAAGCGAGACCATAGTGCATGTCCGAAAGGATGTGAGCATAGCAAAACGCCGGAGTCTGAACTATTGCAAAGTGGTGGAAATCAAGTCCGGCTGGCCAACAACAACAACAACAACAACAACAACAACAACAACAACAACAACAACAACAACAACAACAACAACAACAACAACAACAACAACAACAACAACA